ACTGTCATCAAGTAGATTCTGATTCAAAGAGACACTACGCGTTTCAGAGTAAAACTGTGCTCCATATTCTAGAGAAGTCAATACACGTTTGTTGCAAAAGGGAAAAACAGTAGCTGTTTTAGATTGTGTGGGTCACACTAGTCTCTGTCACCAGCCTTCAACTGCAACTGCAGCATGAAAGCAATCCTACACAGTATATGTACAAGAATCATCACGTCTGTATGCCACTACAATTTTATTACAAAAACAAGTGATGGGCTGGATCTAACCTGCAGCTTATAGCCTGCCAACTCTGCTCTAGAGGAAAATATTTCTAAAAATTAAAACAAATATTAAAAAGTTCATTTAAAAAAATTATTAAAATTCCATTTCTAAGTGTTCAGTAAGAGATTACTATGAATTTCTTGTTCAGCATGTACCTACCTGGGGAATCGATTGCTGAATTGGCACACATCACAGTAATGGTCTTCTACTCTGTTTGCACCCCAAATCAGCTCTTCATCATTGGGGGGTAACATGTCGCCTCTAGACCTAGTGGGGCCACCACATTCACTGCACATAATGTTATTCACCCAGTGAAAAAATTCTTCCTTAAACCAATGCAAAAGCTCCAGCAAAAGAAAATCTTCCTCATTGAACAAAGTACCTGAGAAGTTAAAACAGAACCAAGTAAGATCTAAAGCTGACAAAAACCATTCGTAACTATTTCTGAAGCAAAATATACAGATTTTACTCTTAAGTATGAGGCTGAAATACATGAAAACGCATGACAACTAAAAGATTTTCCCAAATATGAAGAACAAATTATAATACATTGTGAACCAGGATAAAATACAACAACATGTGGAAGTACATTGAGGACCGATGGGTGCTAACCAGCTTATATTATCTAATCTCCATCCTGGTTTGATACGTGACCTGAACATAACGGTCTTCCAGCAAACTGTCATCTGTTTGGAGTTGACCTTGAAGCACAAGGGAATGAAGGAAATGCCTCATTTTTTAAAATGTGATGGTATTATATAAAAAGGATTATACTCAACTTAACTATTGGGTTTATATGCAAGTAAATAAAATCACAGAAAGATATTACAGAATGCCGGACACTTATATTCATTCAGCATTTCTACAAGAGCATCAACTGTACAATCTACTCTAGCGATGGAGACCCAGGGTATTGCGTGACCAAGTGTAAGGTTTCCAAGACTGTAAATCTTCATCGATGCAGAGTTTCAGCTTTATCCTGTGGAGTGGCTGATGGGTTTGAACCACCAACCTTAAGGTCTGCAGTCCAGTGCTTAACAGCCGATACTTAGCTTAAAACACACAATCACAACCATGTCTACAAAATATATAGCACCCCTAGCAATTTAATAGGAGAGACAGTATTATATTCATTTTATCAAACAAAACTGTGTTTTTTGACTATATTCAAGACTGTGATTGTCAATGAGGAAGGAAAAGAATGGAAGAGGTCTAGGAAGATATATGCAGGAGGCTTTGTTATTAAAATGTAGTACAAGAAGGGAAAATGAGAGTAAATCTAAAAGAAAAAGAATGTTTGGAAACTGGTAGCAATTGTACAAACCTGCTTGACATGATTCAACTATGGAGTGCTATTATATATAGATTAAAAAATATTTTTAAAAAGTAAAGCTAGGAATCATAGAACTTTTATTAAACATCAAAATGAGAAGCTGTTGTTTCTTAACATCTGCTCAATTTAAAACCAAATTCACTGTCATCAAGTAGATTCCGACGCCTACCTAGGATCTGTACATTGCTGAAGGTGGTGTCTCCATGGCTACGCACTGAGTAGCTAAACCACAAGGTCAGCAGTTTGAATTCACCAGCTGCTCCACAGAGAAAGGTAAGGTTGTCTACTTCTGTAAAGACTAAAAGTGTCAGAAACCCAAAGGGCAGCTCTACTCTGTCCTATGGGATCGCTGTGAGTGGGCAGAGTTCTACTCTGTCCTATGGGATCGCTCTGAGTGGGCAGCGAGCTCTATCTACTCTGTCCTACAGGATCGCTCTGAGTGGGCAGCGAGCTCTATCTACTCTGTCCTACAAGAGGATCACCAAGAGTTGGAGTGACTTGATGGCAGTGAGTTTTTTGAACCCTTTCCTGAAGAATTCTGAGCTCTCTGATTTACTACATCACATCAGAATAGCAGTTTGTTTTTTCTCAGTTTATAAGTTCTCTGGACACCTCATAACAGATCGAGGTTCTCTGTCTTCTACCCTCCTTTATAGAATTCCTTCCGTTATCCATAAAAGGGGGCCTTCCAAAAGTTCATGGGACAATTACCCATTAATTTCCATTCCATTTTCCTACAAACTTTTGGAAGCCCCCTCTTCCAGCTTCAGGAAGATATATATATATATATAAAATTGTTTTAATAACAATATTTGGACAGCTTTTGTTAAATAGTTTGTCCTTTAAAATTGCTTCAAAATGCTAACTTTATTAAATATTGTGTTCCCACGTAGACATGTCTTTTAGAAATTTTTTTTTCACTGATGTTTGTCTTCAATAATATCACAATATTTTTCTATTCAATAATATCACAATATTTTGATTAGAATTTTATAATTTGTTTTAATATATTATAATTTGTTTTTAATTTTTTTTCTCTCACATGAATTTTGTAGTTATCATGTCCACTGTTATGAAAATTTATGATTTGGATTCAAAACTCAATCTCATCGTTATAGGGTGATGTCAACATAGTGACCCCTCTGTGGGTCCAAGACTTTATTTATAGGAGTAGAAAGTCCAGTCTTTCTCCTGAGAAGCAGCCGGTAGTTTCGAACTGCTGAGCATGCAGATTGTGGGCCTATATTAGGATTGTATTAATTATACATTAATATATGGAGCTTTAGATTATTGACTTTTCTAATCCAGGAACACTTTCTATTTCTCTTACTTTTGTCTTTTTTATGTTCTATGTAAGGTTTATTTTCCTATAGTATTCTTCATTTTTAAATACATCAAACATTAAAAAAAGAATAGATTTAACACCATTAACCAACATCAAGTTTAAATAAATCCTGACATAATGCCACATAAGAGGAATAAATTGAGAAGTACTGTCACTAAAGTTCCAGTTAAATGTAACCTCTCTACACATCTCTCTGTCATCAGTAAATGGCTGCAATCAGGTTATCTCAATAAAGATACTTGCCTTAGTCTTGTCAGGATGCCTCCCCTCCACAAAGGGTACTTTTTGTGCAGTGGAAAATAATGATTTTAAGGTCCAGGGCCAATGTCAGATTTTTAACAAAACTCAAGCATACATCTTCCCAAATCATTGAGAATGAGATTATGAGTATGCTATCTCACATAAA